CTACTGGTACTTTCTGTGGGGTGAGAAACCATAGATTTTGTGAGCTCTCTGATGGTGTGGACCAGAATGAGAAGAGCCTGTGGGGCGTCTCCCTCAACCTCTTGCCTGACTTGATACTTGGAGACAAGCCTTCCAGGCTTGTATCAGCGCAGGATATCCAGCCTTTTGTGTCATGGAAACACCAGCAACTGAGTAAGAGTCTTGTAGAGCTTTCCTCTCACACTCTCCCCCTGTTCTGTGTTTTTGGTTTTCAGACAGGAGAAGGAAGCATGAAGGGGAAGGTGAGAGAAGCTATTCCCTCCACCCCCATTATCTCTCCTTTCAAGTCCCTAGTTTATGAATCTTGAGACCGTGAGGCCATGGGACTCTACAGAGACAAGCTTGTGAAGGGGACCCTGAAACTGTCTGCAGATGCTGGGGAAGATGTGTTTGTAGAGAACCCCATGGCCTTCAGTAGATCTCTGGTGGACCCGTGACACCCACAAAGGTTAACCACCCTTGGTGTCCTTTCTCCCTGCTTCCTGCTCTCCATGTGAGCACTGACCCTCCTGCTCTGCTTGTTTTCAGAACTGAGAGAGGCCCGGAAACATGCAGGTACCAACGACTGGAGCGATGACAGTGGACAGAGCCACGGGTGGGCATGGGAGAGGGAGCCGACCAAAGACAGATATGGGGAACAGGAACACTGAGACACACTGGACTGCAGATTTTAAATCTGTGAGGCCCAGCTCCACCCCAGGGGGCAGCTGCCCCAGACTCATTTCTTGGCCCAGGACTAGGAGGGGAGAGGGCAGGGGGCTGGGTTAGCCCGGGTAGGGGTCAAAGGCTATGCTCCAGGGAACTGAGGGCACTGGTGACTGGCCAAGGGGATGGACTGACGGGAAAGAGGGGAAGTTGGGCAGGACTCAGAATGGGAGCAAGCTGGTTACAAGGGACAATCAAGGTCTCACAAAGTGAAGCAGTGCACTGATGTGGAGGTACAGTGGTAGGGCTGGCGTGATATACAGGAGCTAGGACATCACAGTTGGGCATCTCCAGGCATTGGCGAGGCCTGGGGCCCCACTGGAGATGAAGAAGGGGCAGGGGACAGAGTCTGACAAAGCCTCTGGATCTAGGACCTGACCTGATCCCACCCTGAGACAGTCTGTAGTGGGAGAGGGTGGCATCTGCATCCAGCCCAGGTACCTCCTCAAGTAATTCATGCTCTCTCTCCCTCACCACGTCCCAGTGGAGGTGACTCTGGACCCAGAGACAGCTCACCCCCAGCTCTACATTTCTGATCTGAAAGCTGTGCGCTATAGGAACATTTCCCAGGTGGTGACCGACTCGGACAAGAGATTTGCAAGGAAGTGTGTGGTGGCTTCTCAGGGATTCCAGGCAGGAAAACATTACTGGGAGGTGGATGTGGGACACAATGAAATGTGGGGTGTGGGAGTGTGCCGGGATGACGTGAACAGGAAAGTGGTGTATGTGACTTTGTCTCCCAACTATGGGTACTGGGTGCTCAGAATGACAAGAGAACAAGAGTATCTCACATTAACACCCCGTAAAATCAACCTTCCTCTGAGAACACCTCCTACAAAAGTTGGGGTCCTTCTAGACTATGAGGGTGGAGCCATCTCCTTCTTCAATGTAGATGATCAGTCCCACATTTACACCCTGACATATCAGTTTGAAGGGTTATTGAGGCCCTACATCCAGTATTACACGAATGATGAGAAAAAGGCGATTCCCATAGAGATCCACCCAGTGTCCCAGGAACCAGAGAAAGAAGCAACTTCAGACACACACAACTTGGCGCCTGCTCCACTAGTGACCACACCCTTCCTGCCCAAGGTGGTGGTGTTCACAGGGAATCACACCTCACACTCTCTCTCAGGACACTGAGCTTCCTCTCAGGCTCCAGAGCTCTGCAGTAGATAGCAACATGGCTTCCAGATGAGGCAGGCTGGCCCATTCATGTGGGGTCAGNTGGGGAGTTGGAGGAGTGGGGAAGGAGTGCATGTTCGTGTAGCCCAGAGTGAGAACAGGAGCCTCGATTTCAGGGTTGTTGTGTAGTATTGTCCTATTTTAATAATTAGTTTTGAAAGCCAAAGATCCGTGGGGTATAAAGGTAATATCGTATAATTTGATTATGTGGAAATAATCATTTACAATAGCAGTGGAGTAGAATCAAATATTTCCTTCATCACATAATCATCTTCATGGTGCAACCCTTCAAAATCAACACTCACAAAATTTAAGAAAGCTAACTTGAGGAACAAGGGGGAAAATGTTTGCTCATTAAAAAAAAAGCCATCTAAGTAAATACTAAAACATTACTCTATGAAACAGAACATAATAAAAAGTGGATAATTTCAGGAAGGATTTAAAAATAATAGAATAATTAATATAAACTCAAATATGTCAGTAATCACAATCCATGTAAAAGGAGTGAATTTTCCAGTTAAAAGACAAAGAATGTAAGACTGGAATTTTAAAAATCTCAACTGCTGCAATTCTTAGAGAAAATTACAATGAGCTATTCACTGAAGCATTTTAAAAATAGAAAATGAGAGCTGGCCGTGTGGCTCAGTTGGCTAAGAGCTTGTTCAAGAGTGCAAGCTCTGAGCAACAGGGTTGCCAATTCGATTCCCACATGGGCCAGTGAGCTGCACCAGAGCTGAGCTGCTGCTGAGCTGCCAACAGGTGGCAGGATGGCACAGCTGATGAAAGCACATGCTCCTAATCACAAGGTTGCCTGTTTGAGATGGTGGGCTATGCCCGCCTGCTATTGAAGACTGAACTCGGCACCTTGAGCTGAGCTAGCACCTGGGTGGCTCAGGGGATACAGCGCATGCTCTTAACAACAAGGCTGCTCGTTCAACTACCACATGGGATGGTGGCTATGCCCACCAGCAACTAATTGAACACAGCACCTTGAGCTAAGCAGTGCAACTGGACTTAGAGCTGAGCTTGCTGCACCCTCCACAACTAAGATTGAAGGACAACTTGGCTGTTCCCCTTCCCCAGTTCCCCAACACTGTTCCCCTCCCCCAATTTCCCACTAAAAAATCTTAAATAAAAAAAATTTAAAAGAAAAAGCATAACAGACAAATGTTAACCAAAGGAATACCATTATAGGTATATTAGAGTCAAGAAAAAAGTCTTAAGGAAAAAAAGACATTATTAGCTAGTTATTTCAGAACATAAAAAGTTTATTCACTTGAAAACCATAAGATATATATATATATATACATATATATATACATATATATATATATGCACCTTATAGTATATCTAAACATATATAAAGCAAATATCAATAGAAATATAGGGATAAATTGAAATACTGTGAATTTTAAAACTGATTAAATAAGTAGACATAATTAGTAAGATTGTAGGATATTTGATATACAAATTAACATACTGACCTATTATAATAGATATTCTTATAAGAGTTCACACACAAAAGTCATTATTTTTACACACACGTGGAATATTTACAAACTTTCACCAGGTACATGCACATAAATATGGAATCAACTTGTCTAGTTCTAAGAAAACTATTGAGATTTTCAGTAGAGTTATATGGAATATACAGATCAATTCTGGAATAAATGGTATCTTTAAAATATTGCCTCTTGTTTCCTGTAAGAAGTTATATCTCTCTGCTTATTTTAATTGTTCTTAGTGTCTTTTAATGAAGTTTTATATATCTAATAAAATGTTTTCAAACTCTT